GAGCGCCGGCGGGCGGACGGCGTCGGCGGCGACGGCGGCGGCGGCGACGGCGGCGGCGGTCGCGGCGGCGGCGGTGGCGACGGCGGCGACGACGACGATGGTTGTGGTTGATGATGGTGGTGATGATGCTGATGGTGGCGGTGGTGGTGATGCTGATGGTGATGGTGATGGTGATGATGATGAGGATGGGGATGATGATGATGATGCTGATGATGAGGATGAGGATGATGAGGATGCTGATGATGTTGGTGATGATGAGAACGATGCTGATGCCGTTGATGATGCAGACAGCGATTCTGATGGCGCTGCTGATGATGATCCATATGATAATGATGATACAAATGATAATGGTGATGAAACTGCTGCTGATGATGGTTGTAATGATGATGTTGCTGATCATGCTGATGAGGATGATGATGGTAATGCTGATGCTGCTGCTGATGATGACGATGATGATGATGACGATGATGGTGGTGATGATAATCATGATGATGCTGATGCTGATGCTGATGCTGCTGCTGATGACGACGACGATGATGATGCTGATGATGATGGTGATGGTGATGGTGATGGTGATGATGATGCTGCTGATGATGGTTATAATGATGATGCTGATGCTGATGGTGATGATGATGCTGATGATGATGAGGATGATGATGCTGATCATGATTATGATGATGACGACGATGCTGATGCTGATGCTGATGCTGCTGCTGCTGCTGCTGCTGCTGATGATGATGATGATGATGATGATGATGATGATGATGATGATGATGATGATGATGATGATGATGATGATGATGATGATGATGATGATAAGAAGGATCTTGTTGATGATGAAGCACATGCTGATGCCACTGATCAGGATTAGGCTTGTGATGGTGAAGATGATGATAGCGATCATGACTGCTCTCGCACCGAGAAGTCTGGCATGCAGAGAATCTCAGCTCGAATTGCGCCCCTGCCCCTTTGCTGCAACAACGGCTTTCGCGTGAGATGTCCTCGTGATGTGATCGGGAATCTTGCTCTCGCTTTAGACTTCGTCGCAGTCTATTTAGGACTGTTCTGTAGCCTTTCAGGAACCGCGCTCTCGTCGCGGTCCTGCAATCTGCGTGCGAGGAGGTTCGGTTTACCCCCCCCCCGAGACATCCCCTCCCCACGCATCTTTTCGTTGGGGCATTTTGCGCTCTCGCTTTGGACCTCCTGACGATGCACTCGGGGCTCGCGCTCTCGCAGGTCAGGCACCGCGCTGGTCCGCCCGGGGACTCCTCGCCGCGCGCGCGCGCACCCGCCCGCTCGATCCGCCCGTCGGGCTCCGCCCGCCCGTCCCGGCCGCTGCGTCGGGGTCCGCTCGCACGCCCGCGAGGGCTGCGTCGGGCCCGTCCCTCTGCAGGAGGGATGCTCAAAAGTAGTTCCCCAATCGGATTTAAGGGTAGGTGAGGTGTGCCGCCGATTCGGTGGCCGGGCCCGGGTGCCCAGGTGCCCGGGTGCCCAGGTTCGCCGACGATTCGGTGGCCGGGCCCGGATGCCCGGATGCCCGGGTGCCCGGGTGCCCGGGTGACGGGTGCCCGGTGCCCGGGTGCTGGGTGCCGGGTGCCCGGGTGCCCGGGTGACGGGTGCCCGGTGCCCGGGTGGGTGCCCGGGTGCCGGGTGCCGGGTGCCCGGGTGCCCGGTGCCCTGTAGCCCTATAGCCTTACAGCCCTATATCCCTATCGCCCTATAGCCCTATAGCCCTATAGCCCTATAACCCTATAGCCCTATAGCCCTATACCCTATAGCCCTATAGCCCTGTAGCTCCATTACCATATATCCCAATAGCCCTATAGCCCATATAGCCCTATAGCCCTACAGCCCTCAAAATATTATGATTCTTCAGGCTTCCGCCACATCCGCCGACCCCTCGGATTTTCCCCGGGATCGTTCACCACAGCTTGCTTGGAAACCGTGGGAAAATGAGGCTGTTCAGGGCCCGTCACAGCGAGAAGGGGAGCCGACATGGGTCGCAGACTGGCCCAGAGGGCTTCCAGACGGCCCAAGCGAACCCCAAGACGGCACAGGGAGGTTTTTTGGGTTGTGTTTGGGGCCTTGCACGGGTGCCGGAGCCAGGGAAGTATGTTACACCCCGGAGACATCTTACGGTTGTCGGCGGCTTCCAAGCGGGATGTCCCGCTAACTGTGAATGTTCGGGGATGTTTGGGCTGACCTTGTCGATGGCAATGACGTCGTTGATGATCACGACACTGATGACGATGATCGGCTCCCTCTCCTCCTCTCCTCCTCCCCCTGCTCCTCCCTCCTGCTCCTCTTCCTGCCTCTCCTCCTCTTCCTTCTCCTGCCCTTCCTCCTCCTCCTCGTCCACGTCCTTCTTCCCTTCCCTTCCCCGCCTTCTTCTCCTCCTCCTTCTTATCCTTCTCCTGCTGTTCCTCCTCCCGCCCTTCGTCCCTCTCCTCCTCCTCCTCCTCCTCCTCCTCCTCCTCCTCCTCCTCCTCCTCCTCCTCCTCCTCCTCCTCCTCCCCCGCTTTCCTCCTCCTTATCCCCCTTCCCTTCCCGGCCTTGTCCTCCTCTTCCTCCCCCTCCTTGTCCTCTTCCTCCTCCTCCTTCTCCTCCTCCTGCTCCTCCTCCCCCCCCTCCTTTTCCTCCTCCTCCTCCTTTTCTTCCTCTTCCTCCTCGTCCTCTTCCTCCTCTTCCTTCTCTTCCTCCGTCGTCCACTCGGGCCTTGCGGCGTCCACTCGAGCCAGCCGCGCGTTTTCGCGCGTGGGAGCCGATGGCCGCGTCGCCGCGGCCACGGCGGTTGCGCTTGTGGCCGCCGCCGGCTTCTGCGGCAGATGCGAGAGGGGCGCGCCTGGCGACACTGCGGGCCGCGAGGCTGCGGATAAGATCGAGACACCAGTGGCGGACGAGGCGCAGGAGTGGTTTTTTGCGGCCCGCGTGAACCGGGACTCGCAAGATCCTCGGAGGAACCGAGAAAAGGCTGTGGCAGAGGCGGCGGAGCTCTTGCGGGAGTCCCCGGGCGTGCCAGGTGACCCGGAAGACCCGTCCGTGCCGTGGGGGGATGCGTTGGCCGAAGACTGCGCGGTTGAATTACCGCCGGCGCACTGCGCGTTCCGCGGCTGTCGATGGTCGGGGAACAGAGAAGCGGACCTGATCGAGCACGTGGCCGTGGGGCACGGGGACGTCCTACAGCCAATCGCGGACACGTACTCGCCGGCGCACGAGGAAAACAAAAGGATTCTGGCGGCGTACAGCGAAGTGGTGTCGCAGAAGACGCGGCAGGTCGCGCCGCTCTCCACGTATGCAACGCATCGACGCAGCCTGAAAGGATATGCGGACGCGACAGTCAGCAATAATGTGTGTGCGCCTATATGTTTTCTCTGCGCTTGCTCGTTTCCCTGGGTGGCCGACCGAGAAAACAACGATATTTCGTGGGAGAAATTGTTTGAGAGCGATCCAGAAGATAGCTTCCGAGTAGCGCGCATTGGTGCGTGGCCCATTCTGAACGCGTCGCGTGAGTTCGGTCTCCTGGCGTACTTTCGGAGGTACAGGTACGAGGAGGGAAACGAGAAGCTCGACCTGATGAAACATTTGAGAGAGTTCGACGATTGGAAGCTGCGAGTGCAGTGCTCTCGTGAGTCAGGGGTGCCCGGGGGCGGGTTCGACCTGTTGCGCTGTCCAGAGGATGTGCGTTGCGCGGGCGGGTGCGTGGAAGGGAAGACCGCGTGTCCAGAGTGCGAAGTGCCCGTGTGTCGGGAGTGCGCCGAAGGCATCAATGCCCCGAAAATGAAGTGGGACGGGGCGGAGGTACGAGAGAGACCGCAGATGCCTGCGCGCTGCCTGGCGAACGATCTGATGACGTTCTATGGGCCACTGAGCATGGACGACGAGGGAATGACCGTGATGGAGATGATATGTTGCAGCCCGTGCATTACCTCAATGATATGCTTCTCGTTGGAAGTGAAATATCAGAATTTTTCGACACTGTCGCTGGGATGCAGGAGACGCGGGTGGCGGCGCGCGGGAACGCAACCTCGTTTGCGTTGCCGTGGCAGGGTATCCTTGCGGAATTGCGGCGGAAGCAGAGATGGGCCGAGGGCGCCGGAGGCGTCGCCTTGCCGCGCGTGGGTAGTGAGCTGGGCCATGTAGTGCAGGTTTTGTTGAAGGTGAGCGACGCAACAACGAAGCAGAACCTGCCGCAGTTCATCCATCAAGCAACAGTGCGGCGGGACGTTGTTAAGCACCACATCAAGAAGATGATGTCCCGCGGGCACCGGGCGTTCGCGCACGTGGACGAAGCGGGCATGGATGCGCGCGCCGAGAGCTTGCCAAGGAACGGCGTTCCGCCAGAACTGGTTCGCCTGCTTCCGTACGACAACCACTTGGACAAGGCAATGGCGCAAAGAAACGCGACCCCGTCGGATGGCGCGAGGGCGACGGTGGAAGAAGCCTGCGGGGGCATGAATCGCCGCATCCCGAACATGGTGGTGATGGAGAAGTCCAGCTACAATGACGTGGGCGCGAACGCGATGACGGAGGCCGCGTTCGCCAGGTTAGCAGAAGGAGTGGAGGAAGGCACAGCGACGGTCGCTGTCGCCCCGGGTGCGCATGAGGGTGCAGGTGAAGCAGGAGTGCGGTTCGCAGCTGCAGCGTGGAGAGATCACGTAGTTGCATTGGCCGCGCATTTCCTAGGCGATCGGGAAAATTGGCGATTGCGGTACACGAGCAGTGGAATGCGGAGCGTGACTGAGGTCGGGGAGACAACTCAGCGGTACAACCTCGTTCTCATGGACGAAGCCGGGCGCGGCACCCGGGTGGAAAAAATGCGTCTGCGCTTGGTTGTATCGCCAGGGGCGGAGATGATGAGCCAGTTCGTGCCTTGGTTTTTTGGCGCGGCTTTCCCTTTTTGTTTCAAGTTCGGAACGGGCATGCCCGACATGCCGGAGCGGTCGGAGACGAGTCGGCACAGGCGGGGGCCGGAGGCCCCAAGAGTGGAACTTCCTCTCTGG